AGAGCGATAGCATTAAGACACAGTTTAATTTTACTGGTGATTTATATTTAGCATGCATATTTTACTTCAACGGCCATAATATTGGAACACCCTGCAGATATAGTACACGTCTTTCATGGAAAATACTTCATAAAGGTCTCGCAAAAAAGATGAAATAGGTGTCCTTTCTACAGTCCGTAATGCAGAAGAAGCGTTATAGTTGAAATAATATGATCAAATGGTGAATTCAAAGGATACTTGCGAAGTTTGTATTTCAACCTCAAAATGTAAGGCTCCTTTCTTTAGGCCTATCCTGGTGCGCCTAAAATCCAATGTGAACTGCGCTGCCCTATCAAGGAAGTAGGGAAGCTTGGTGATGAGGACAGAAGAGAACGTAACCATGCAACACAACTACTTCAACTATCAAGCGAAAAAGCACACTACGGTGCAAAATAACGTAAAGAAAAGTCATAGCAGCTTCGCAGTATGGTGGTGCTGAGCCTGAAGGAAGTGCAAAGCTGTGTGGTCTGCCTTGTTTGCCTTTGTTTTTATCGTTCTGTCATTCTCCTTGCTTTTCTTTTTCACTTTTTCTTCCATCTCTTTTTTTGTGTTTCTTTAGTTCAATTTCCTTCTTTTTTTGGTCTATACATTTCCTTTTTCAATATTTCTACATTTCTTTTTCTCACTATCTAAGTTTTTGGCATCTTCTTTCTTTATATCGCATTATTTGCTTTTTATGAAAAGCAAAAAGAAAAAATGTAATGTCTTCAAGGACACAATAATAACACACAAACTTTCTTCAATTGAAAGCGCGGACATCTTCACATATTATATAAAGTATTTCATTGTGGCAAAACTCTGTTTATCTTTCCGTGAGAAAACTTTTCTACCATGCATACGCTGAGAATTTTTTTAATACTTGTCGCATCAGTAGGAACTGAAAACGTGCTGAAATATTTATGGGGTCATAAAGCGTTAAAAACACTGGTATTACACCTACCGTTCTCTAATTAGATAACTACCGCGTTTGTTTTGTATTCAAATAATATTAAGCCTTAATTTGCCTGTACAATTTACACGCTGGCGTAATGTTTAAAATAAGATATTCTGAACCCCAGGTGGCCGAAATTTTCGGAGCCCTCCACTATTGCGTCTATTATATTCACATGGTGGTTTCGGGATGTCACACCCCACATATCACTCAATCAAACCACACATTTTTCTCTTCTTAATAACTTTCCACTTGGTTTTTATATTCATCGCAAAGAAATATCCCGTGCTGTATTTTGGTGACAGCTTGATAGGGTTTTTACGCATTGTTACGGAGGTCTTCATACTTAGGACGGTGCAGCGCTCACACAAAAAGGACAAAAAAGAACATGACAACGCGTTGACTATTGCCTGTATTTTTATTCACAAAAGACAGAAAAGCTTTTGCAAAATTCATTGGAACTCTAACAAGTGTATCAAACGATAAAGTGCTTCTATGAAAGTTTCTCCTAATTATACATGCAAATAATGATTTTCATGTGAAAGTTGGGCACGCGCTGACTCGCGTTCTTGTTTACCGAAACCTAAATGAATACTCTCACTTTCTTTTTAAATGTAAAATATCGCAATAATTACTCGGGTGAGCTGCATTTTATCTCTGGGAAGTGTCATTGTTTTCCTAATGTGAACTGTTCACTCACAATCACGTCAGTTATTATCCGCGTTGGTGGTCTTGTTTCTTTTAATGATTTCGTATTTCCTCGTAGATGAGCATTGATTGGCGACTAATGAAAAGCTCTATAGAACGTGCACTAAGCAGGCGCTGAGCCTGCTTGCTACGCTATATAGTTTTCTTTGGATAACTTTGTGTTAATCTTTTAGAAATACGTAGTTTGTCTGGGATCAAGTTTATCATAAATAAAATACTCAGTTAAACTTTTCTATATTTAAATGACAGGTAAGGCCAAAAACGTTAAAAAGCCAAATGATAAGTGAAAAAAAAACGCAGCAGTACTCATATTAGGATTGGTGTAGCAGAACACGGAAAAATAGAGAAGCCATTAAGGGCACACCCTTAACAGCTCTGCGTCAAAAAAAGTAATAGCAAAAACCCAATTCGCAGTGCACGGGAACCTATAGATCCTGAAAATTTGTTCTCCTGCCATGTGAAATAAATTCTGCTGTTTTTCTTATCTTATGCTTATTACGGTGCCTTGCACCTGACACGAAACGATTGATGGTGTTACTGCCTAAATCACATGAAGAGTCGCGAAGTGCGTTTACTAAAACTGGAATTATCATGTAGCCTGTTCAGACGCTAACTTAGAAGTCTGAAGACACATTCAGTTTTTGCGTGTTCAATTGATTGATATGTGGGGTTTAACGTCCCAAAACCACTATATGATTATGAGAGGTGCCGTAGTGGAGGGCTCCGGAAATTTAGACCACCTGGGGTTCTTTAACGTGCACCCAAATCTGAGCACACGGGCCTACAACATTTCCGCCTCCATCGGAAATGCAGCCGCCGCAGCCGGGATTCGAACCCGCGCCCTGCGGGTCAGCAGCCGAGTACCTTAGCCACTAGACCACCGCGGTGGGGCTGCGTGTTCAATTCCACGCGCATAAAAATATAAAGCAGAATAAGAAACAACGTTAAGGAACGGAAAACGAAGCACAGTATGTACAAAATAATTGATCAAAGAAGGCGTGAACAAAGATTCGGTAGTACTTTTTTTATCATAGACGTAGCGGCAGGTAACTCATTTTACCTCATCCCGTTTATGAGCCATTTTTTGATTCCTTAAACAAAATGTACCAATCATCTCACCTTTAAACCTTTGTTCAGTTCGAGACAAAAATCACAAGTGTTTCGATGAGTCTTGTATTCATGTTATAAAGTTTAGCAGCCAGCGCTTTCATCAACCATGTAGTGGTGCTACCGCCCAAGGCGAAATTCTGTCTCCGACCCAAGGCCTTGATCCAGCTTTCTGCCCTCTTTTGTACGCAGCGCAACCACAGTGGAATATTTATCCAGTCTGCAGTATAGCGGATCTCGCAGAAAGCCTTGACAATGTGAAGCAACTGCGAAAACGAAGAGCTGCGAATACTCTGTGTATGCTTCTGCAATTATCGTCATTCAAGTAGAGGCTATATTGTGTTTTCGTTTTCGTAGTCAAGAAAGGTTTGCAGAAACTTGTAGGCTATCTTGGTGACAAAACATGAACGGATTGATCAAATTACGAGATGTTTTGAAGTTCCCTAGATGAGGAATCAATTAGGCTGGAGAGTAATGTTGATATTCGGAGAAGTTGCAGACAGTTAACGTAGCGTGTGAAGTGCTCGCAGACAGGACAATTTCGGGTCTTGTCTCTGTGCGCTTAATACCACATAGAAAGCATAAAGAGCAACATTTTACATGGATATTTTGCTATGCTAAGATAACAGCAAGCTTTTTTCAACATACGTAAAATTTAACAAGGGGTGAGTAGTTAGCGCAAACGCATATTCACGCGCTTTTTCTAAGCGGTGGAATGGCAGAGAAGTGATAGCCGCAGTTGACACGTTTGAATAACCGAGACTAGCATTTAAAAAAAGTTAGGTTACTCAAGTTAGTTCGTAGCATTTGCTGGTGCACAGTAGTACTTTTGTGAGGCGGAAGTGATAAATGATCTTCACCAGAACGAAAGCTTAACGCAATACCAATATATTGCTTTAAAAAAAATAATGCACATGTTACTTGTTTCATACCTAGATCAGAATAGTGTAGAATGTATATGCCACTTCCGAGGTATGTGAATATATTTATGGCATCACATAAAACATCTTATTAAGATGTCATGAACTTCTGTGTACCGGATTCAATTGAAATATTATAATAGTGATTCTGACCTAGTTTTTTTCAGTTCTGGCTCCCATGTAGATAAAGTGTGTGCAAATGCCACCCTGGAAATTAGTTTTTCCTCCAATGTTACCTTCTTACACAACACTTCTACAACACCTTTCAAAACAACGTCGATTAAAGTTAAACCATTCAAATAAATATGAAGGCAACATTCTCAAATTTCAAACTTATAGATGACTTGGTAAAGAGAATCTTTTCTTAACGAACAAAAAATATCAGAGCGTTAGCCTAAAGTAGTGATGCTCTTCCATTGTGCTATTGCGATTGCATTTTTGTGGTACTTGTGCTATGGCACCTTTTTTTAAAATTCAGATGAAATAAGCCCTGAGGCAGTCATGGCTAAATTTACTGGCGTTTGTTCAAACTGCGCAACAGTGCAGACTACGGCGAGATGTAGTCCATCTACGGAGCACTTCACCGATGGCAGCTGCTCAGATATGCGTTTGGCCCCAGAAGTCTGCTGCCTTTCCGGCTCCATAATGAAGGATGCTAATAGATCAAAGCTTGGCCGCATCAGCCGCAGTTTCGATGGAGACAAAAATTATTGAGGCTCGTAGACATAGGTGTAGGTGTCTGTTGAAGAAACCCGGTGGTCGACATTTCCGGAACCCTCTATTACGGCGCCCTTATTATTCATATCATGGTTTCAGGACGTTGAACCTCAACAGCTATTACTAATAATATTATTATTAAACCTCACAAGTTCATTCGTCTGAAAGGACAAGCAAAGTACAAGTTGACCGAATGATTAAAGATGCTCCTTAGTATAAGAACTGAGAATTTGTGAAATTTTCTAATTTTTGTCAGAAGTTGTACAATCATCGATCTATATACCAATCATGCAAGTAAGTAATCGTCATGAAAAATCTCAGGAACCTGAGTCATTCACTGTTACAGTGCGTATAACGTTTTCTCGCAACACAATTCTTCAGCATAACAAGGTGAGCAAGAGTTAGGGAAATAGCTTTTCATTTTGCCGTGGAATTGAGATATGTACAAAGCAATAACTCAGATTTCACATTGCGAGCAACAAGCACTATGGCAAAGGATGCATAATTTTAGTTTATTACATAAAATTGCTCAAACACATGGCCACGCTCATGCGGATAGAGGTCAATGCTCTACTTGCCATTGCCAGCAGTATATGTAAATGCACCAGGACTATCTCCAGCCTTGACGTATAACGGAATAGTTTGCCTGCAAAAATGTCAGAACAAAGAACTGAAAGAAGTCGCACACTGTTTGCACAATGCACAGTGCTCTTAATTGACGTCAGACGTTGAGGAAGACTACTGATTCACCTCAAATAAATGGTAAAGGTCAAGCCTGATTTTCCCAATGCTGAATGAGCCTGTGGCGCTAAAGCCTTGCTTCCAAATTCAAACGCCCACAAGGGGCCCAATTCACAAAGCGCCTAATATGCCATGTGTCATCAGGGGGTTTGCCTAATTATATTTCTGATCTGAGGGTTGTCTTACATACGCCCTCTTTCTGTCTGAAACACACTAGCACACGCAAATACACACACACACACATACATATATATATATATATATATATATATATATATATATATATATATATATATATATATATATATATATATATATATACAGTCGACTCTCATTAATTCAAACTCGAAGGGACCCCTGGATTTTGTTTGAATTATCAGGCTGTTTGAATTATCAGAAGTTCTCATATATGCGACTCTGGGTAAGGTGACAGCACAAATTATGATCAGACATCTACATTCACACTTTTAAGCATCTCTAGATCCTAACTACACAAAAACAGAGAGCGGTGCATGTATGGTCAACAAGTTTATTGACTATCTACTGCTGACTAGACCTTTTAAAAAAATCATGGATGGTCAACTGCTTATTTGCCACATGCGCATTTAGCACAAAGCTCTCGATGCCAGTAAGTGCTGCCAGTTGTTTCTGAGAGTTTTCTGTTGTTGTCAGAAATTTTCTCACTTTAGCAATGTACTGGAAAGCCTGTGCAGTTGTCACATTTTCCACTTCCGGTTCTTCTTTCACTGCTGTGTTGTGCTGGCAGCACCTCTGCCACCAAGTCATCGAGTGTGTCCTCCCTGCACACGCACAGGTTATCATCAGTAGCTGCATAACTGTCGAGGTCGGCAGCTATGTTGTGCGCTTTTAGAATAGACAGCACTTGGCTTTCATCGTCGCCCTCAGTCTGCAAGCAGTCAGATGAAGTGGCAATGCTGCAGCCAGGTATGCGGAAGGCATGCTCGAAGCAGTTCCTTATTGTTGCTGATGTGACAGCATTCCATGCGTCGGCGAGCATGCCCAACGATGAGAGTAGTGTGACACTGTAAGGCATGGAATTGTCCATACATATCAGCATTCTCTTTAGCAGTGTTTTCCGGTAATTAAGCTTCAAGCATTTGATTACCCCTTGATCCAGGGGCTGGAGGACAGCTGTAGTGTTAGGAGGCAGAAATTCAAGGCGAATTGCTTCCAGCCCCTCCACGTCGCCGTGCGCAGGGCAGTTATAAACAATGAGCAAAATTTTCCTTTTCGCTCGCTTCATTTGCCCATCCAGTTTGCGGAGCCAACCCTCGAACAAAGCTTGCGTCATCCAGGCTCGCGTGTTTCCGTCATATGCAACTGGGAGCGTTCGGACACCTTTAAAGCACCTGGGACGCTTTGACTTGCCCACAACGAAGAGTTCTGGCTTGTGACTTCCGTCCATATTGGCGCAAACCATGACGGTTAACCGTTCTTTGCTCAGCTTTCCGCCAGTGCAACGCTCTCCCTTGCGACACAAGGTTTGATCGGGCAGGCACTTAAAAAACAGCCCCATTTCGTCGGCATTATATACATCAGCCGGGGAGTATTCAAGCAGCAGGCTTTGAAGTCTAGTCTGCCGCCAGTCAGAAGAAACAGCTTCATCTACCACTGCTGCTTCACCACTCACTGTTTTGAAGGAGAGACCGTGGCGTTCCTTGAACCGAGAAATCCAGCCATCGCTGCACTTGAAATCGTCAATTCCCAAGCGCAAGGAAAGTTCTTCAGCTTTCTCTCGTAGGATTGGCCCATTTATCGGTAAATTGGAGCTCCGTGCGCGCTTGAGCCAAAGAAGCACGGCGTTTTCGAGATCCGGGTACGCAGCTTCCCTAAGCCTTTTCCGATCGGGAGCGAAGCGGCTCGCGTTATTCTGCAGCTTGTCTTTGGCTTTCAGAATGGTTGTGAGAGTACTTTTGGTTATTCCATACTTCAGTGCCACTTCGGTCTTCTTTACCCCAGCGTCGACTTCTTGGATAGCGGCCAATTTCTCTTTTAGGGGTAGTGTCCGATATTTTCCTCGCGGTGACATGGTCGATCGAAAAATGCGCAGCACGTAAGAAAGACGGGCAGACCTGTACGCATTCTGTGGGCAGGTCACGTGCTTCGGAGTCGGCCGGCGCCACCGGCACGCCGGAAAAGCAGAGATAAGCCGCGAGCCAGCTTCGTAACCACCGGGCCGTTTTTGTTTTTCGTTTTTTTTTCCACCGCGGCGCGGAATGCTGAGAAATGATTGTGTGGCAAAACCTTTTCTCTTGAAGTTTTAAGGCGCTTATTTTTCAATATCAGACTACTATGATAATCATAAGCACGCAAATTTTCAAATATTGCCGGCAAATCAGCAGAAATTTTCCGGTATGGACAGGCAGAAAGTACGAATTAACCGAATGACGAAGTTTGAATTATGCGGCTTTTAAATACATTGAAAGCATAGCGAGCCAACCAAAATTTTGAATTTTGTACGAATTAACCGAAAGTTCGAATTATCAGAGTTTGAATTATCGCGAGTCTACTGTATATATATATATACATATATATATATATATATAAATATATATATATATATATATATATATATATATATATATATATATATATATATATATATATATATATATATATATATATATATATATATATATATATATATATATATATATATATAAAGCATTTCACTCATCATCATCATCCTAACTACGTCCACTGCAGGACAAAGGCCTCTCCCATGTTCCGCCAGTCAACTTGGTTTTGTGCTTGCCGCTGCCATTTTACACCCACAAACTTCGTAATCTCATCTGATCACCTAACTTTCTGTCTCTTCCTAACGACTTTCCTTCTCTATGAATTTAGTTACTTACCCTTAATGACCAGCGGTTATTCTGTGTGCGCGCTACTTGCCCGGCCCCAGTGCATTTCCTCTTCTTGATTTCAACTATAATATCCTTAACCCCGGTATGTTCACTGATCCACTCTGCTCCCATTCGTCTCTTAAGGTTGCACCTACCATTTTGCTTTCCATTGCTCGCAGCATCATTTTCAATTTAAGCTGAACCCTCTTTGTAAGTCTCCAGATCTCTGGTCAGTAGCTAAGTACCGGCAAGATGCAGCTGTTATATACCTTCCTCTTAAGGGATAGTGGCAATCTACCTGCCATAAATTGAGAGTGCTTGCCAAAAGGGCTCCACCCCATCTTATTCTTCTAGCTTCTTCAATCTCGCGGTAAAGTGGATGTGAAGGCACATGTTTATGAGGTGGTTTAAAACCAAAATTTCTACCCAATTTTCGGGAGGATCCAAGTGTACGTCGCTGTTCGTTGCTCTGTGTTCATCTCTGATCGACTTGCTTGAAGGCAGTCAAGCATTGTTGCGTTGCTTGGGTCTGAGACAAGAACAACAGATTTGAAAGCCTCAAACACCTGTATGAAAGAAAAATGCAAAGTTTTCCTTCATCCACGGTGCAACAAAGATGCTGCAATAACCCACATGAGTTCTACACAGAATGTGGCGACCCTTCCGCGCCGCTTCAATGTTGAAACAGCGGGGCAATAAAAACAACTCTTTGCCCATTAAATCTCTGTGTGGATTACTGTGCGGACACTTATAATGCAGCAAAAAGCAATGATACCACTTCTGCTCTAATTTTGAGTTGCAAATACAGAAAACTTTCACGATGTGTCTGAAAAGAGAGCTTCAATATTTTGACGAAGCTCGTCACTAGGACCTGTGAAAACACAAGATACTGCATGCTTGATTTTACTCTGTCGATATGACGTGATTCCGCAAAGTTTTCTTCATTTAGTACTTCTCATAGATAATAAATTAGGTATGCTTACAAAGCTATCCTTCAGAAAGGAAAGCTATCCTTTGATTGTGTGCAACAAATGCTTACGTATTTTCGTGAAGTGCGTAAAACTACGCCAATCACAAAAACAAAAAAAAAACGCAAAAAAAGTAGCTTTACTTAGAGGGTTCCACTTCATTTGTTCTACTTATATCCAAAAAGTGTTTTCATATAAATTTATGAATTACAGGGTGCATAATGAAAGCTTTGGAATTGTAGCCACAGTATAATAATGGCTCCCGCAGTAAAACAATTGTAGACCTTCTGGGTCTAGTGGTGACGATGGTATATGAAAGAGGAAAGTCCTGAATTATTGGGACGGAGTTCATTACTAGCACATTAGGACTATACAAGAGCAAAATAAGACCGGACCATTCCATAAGGAATGGATTCGAACTAACTACAATAGAAAACTAGTAAAGCTGACTTTGTTGTGTTCAAGAGAAAAACTAAGAGTGAAAATTTCTGTCTGCAGCTTGAAAAAAAATACTTCGCAGATCCCACCTACCTTGTGAATTGATTCGAGGTGAAGTATGCATGTGGACGGAAGGTGACCATGTCGTAAATTTTTATTGACTGACAGTCACAAACTCACTCCAAATATATGTATAAATATTGCACCAACTGATACATGTTGCAAAGTTGCAGAAGTTTATCGCCAGTTTTTCGCACTTGCACAACGAAGCCAACAGTAACATAAGTATTAGCAACATCAGAAGCGATAAGCTGATATGAAGCGCTTGTACACGTAAGGATGGTTGTCCTGGTCACTGCTACGTAATTCAAATTCAGCTCACAGCACCTACCTACGATTGACGTTAACCCGACGCGGTGGCTGTATCACATGAGTACATATGTAATGTTTTTAAAATTACATAGCCAGCACTGCAATCACAATAGACGTTTCACAAACATTAGGGTCTATTAAAAAGTAGTTCCAAGACCTGGCGTGACTCTGCGCTTTAGAATGGCTAATTGCCTAGCGGAATGCTGGGGTTAAATTCCTCCTGGGACCCTGACATTTATTCTTAGCATTCACCATGTCAACGCTGCCAGTGTGAGTTTTTTTTTAACGCTCACACGTTGAAATCGCCCTGGTGAGCTCTCGTCGATCCTCGGTAAATATACTAAGATCTTATCACCTGTGGCACCTATCCGCCCGGTGTTTGTGTCACTGTTAGGCGAGAAGTGTCACGGGATTGGGACATTATTTATGTCTTGGCTCGCACGTCATCTGCGTGAAACCATGTTACCCTTCAATACTAATTTTGGTTTACGCCAAGCTATAACGGTGATCACGAGAGCACCTAGATGTAAGCGGCTAAATAGATAGATAGATAGATAGATAGATAGATAGATAGATAGATAGATAGATAGATACGAAAAACAATTGCAGTACGCAGCAAAGAAATACTTCCCAATTCATAATGAGATTGAACGTGTTGCTTCTTTAGATTTTCAGGCATATTTTTTAGAGTAAACATCAGTGAGACACCTGAAATAAACAAAATAAATGCAAATATGCCCAGAGCGGTTCCTGTTTTATACAACCTGAGGTCTCTAGTTCGAAAATGGCTGAATTTCTAGCTATTTTAGAGAGAGCTAATAAAGCTTAAATCTGGACTTCCAAAGGAGGAGTGGCCTTCATGAAGTGCTTCGAGTGCCTATTTTTGTTTCTAATGATAATGACTCTCTCCGTGTATTTGAATATTTTTCATTTTATTCTTGCTTTTTTGTTTTTGCTTATTTTATTGCGCAAAATCTATGTACTGCTATTGCGCGGCGCTGTACTGTAACTGGCGGGGATGCCTAGTCGTGCTCTGTCAAGCTTTTTCTTCTTATTCCCTCTATTCTGTGAAGTAGTAAATGGTAGTAAATGATATGAAATGACATAAATTATTTCTCTTGAGTTCATTCACATCTACATTACTGTATTTTAACCTGTGGTATGATATGAAAAACTAAAGAAGACAGGCTGTTAGTTTTACAAAAAAAAGTGCCACCACATCCACGAAGTGAATGATGATGAGTGGGCGTAGCTCCGGAGGTAAACATGGTAAACCATGAATCCTCCGTACATTTTGCCCACTCGATTTTATTGCAACGCTCCCCCTAGCGTATGTCGCTGCACTATATCGAGCGATGACACGCGCCATATGTGGCATCATTCCTATTTTATAACACCTCGCATCTTTCATAATCAACTACACGTACCGCCGTCTAGTTTATAACATCTTGCATCTTTTGGATAGATGGATGGATGGATGGGTGGACGGACGGACGGACGGACGGACGGACGGACGGATGGACGGACGGACGGATGGATGGACGGACGGACGGATGGATGGATGGATGGATGGGACGTATGGACGGACGTACGGACGGACGGGCGGACGGACGGATGGATGGACGGACGGACGGACGGACGGACGGATGGATGGACGGATGGATGGATGGATGGACGGATGGACGGATGGATATGGCTGTACCCTTTAGATCGGGCGGTGGCTAGCGTAATACTTAATGCCATCAGCTACAAGTACCGCCACCTAGTGAACACTGCAAGAACTGAATGAGAGGTGGCTACATACAAGGGACGCACAGCCCACGCCTTAAGGAGCTTCGCTCCTAAAAAAATATGGCTCTAAGCTACGTAGAAAATCTGTAACTTAGGAATCACGCCCTACCACTTTTGTTTACAATCTTGAACTCACCATATGTGTCGGCACAGAAATGAGAAACAACGTGGGCAGTTATTTGGAGCATTGGCATCTAAGCGATTTTTTTATTATTTAGGTTTTGATAGATTTCGACTGCCATTTTTCAGGAAGGACCTATGGAAAGCAAACCTTCTGATATCAAATACCCAATGTAGCCCACAGCTGCAGGCATATCCGTGAACTTTTTAAACAAGGTCATACAAAAAGATTTAAAGAAAAATGATAAGTGTACTTTCTCTCTTGTATACTACGTTCTAATATATACAAAAATAATGAATTTTCTTTTTATGTGTTTCTACTTTTGTACACTTGTGTAAAACTCATTCGCTTCTCCGAATGTATCTTTCCATTTGTTACTGTATTTTATCTTCTTACTCAATAGTTTCCTAGTTGTAATTTTTGGACATTCTTGTTTTTCTTTTCTATTATGCTATGGGGAAATATTAGTTGATTCTATTGGTGCTTATACTGTACGGTAAGATATTCTTTCTCATTCTTGAATATTCTTTTTTTTGTTGCGAAAAAAATACAAATAAATTTTTGTTCTTATGTTGCACACCATTTGAGAAAATGGTGGGTTCATGGACCCTTGTCAGGCAGACATATAATGCCTTTAGTTACTTCAACGCAGGCAATGTTTCGTTTCAGAAAAGTGAACTGAATCGAGAAAAGCTGGTTATCTGCACTGAGTAGGCTGCCATAAAATAGTCTCGCGTAGCTAAATCTTAGCAAGAAAAAACAATACTTGCTAATCAAACGTTTATTGATACTTAGTTTTAAATCTACGGCTCAAGTGCTCGTTTGGCACTCGCTGGTCGACATTATGAATTAGAGCCAATATAATGATGCCAAGACAGCGCGTTTTTTACTACAGGATAAAAAGTGAAATACACAACTACAGAACAAGGTGTTAGATATGAAAACTTTATTCTAGGCCAGGTTATATTAGACCGGTACACAGAATAAGAAGATATCATTTAAAGACGCTAACAAACTGTTCCTTCTTTTTGCGGGGCGGGGTTTGGATATATTGTGAAATGACCCACGTTTTTTTTGTCATTGACGAGTGGAGCTGGGTTGCAGATGACATCTGCTGACAGCATGTGGTTTTCAACCTCGATGTAACCTCAATTTGCACATTACTGCACCTCCCGTGCATGCATAACGATTGAGCCGAGAATGCCACTGAACCGTAAAAGTATCGTAAACGACCTGGCCTGTACAGCGCGGGGAAGACGTGGCCACCACTGATATTGACAGAGAAGTCTTGGATATGGCTGCTATCTTAGGCGACCGAGTGCGTGACGAGAACCGCTAGGTACAAAGTTTTGTGTTAGAAATGGGGTGTGTGAGGATCTGTTCTGTTTTCGTAATCAATGTTATTGTCCGTGTGGGCTGAATATCAGCGACAGCCAAGACTTGACTCTTTCCTTTGAGCTTGCCTTATTTATTACGTGCTTAAGACAAGCCGTCAGCGTCTCGATGAACACAACGAAGTTACGCCTACGGTGCTCCACACGTTTGAGACGAGCGCGAGAGAATACACCGGAAAGAAAAACAGCTTCTGTGGTTCTTCATGTTAAAAAAATAAACAAAATATGTGGTTATGTTTGTATTGCCTGATGCAGTTCTAAATTGCTAAAAATGTTGCTTTTCTTGAATAGGGGAGTCAGGTAATTGGAAGAAAATTGGCGTACACTTAAGATTACCGATGAAAAAGAAACACATGCAAGGATATACTATAAATGTATGCTTCACACTTCCTCCTGAAAAAGTTAAGGTTCTGCTCTTTTAAGATTTCGTTATACTTTCGTTATTCTCCGCTCTACTGCGCATTACAATGTTTTTTTTTAGTTTTCATTAGGTTTCTCTGTTATTCACCCTGTTTCGGCGTCATATGCTGAAACTTGTGGTATGCGGTAATTGTACCGTTTTTCACTGTGGAGACAGCGATTGATTGCCCCTCATAATTTAGAAGTCCCTGCCGTCTGCACTTGAGCACATCTCTGTCATTGGCTGAACTTTATTTTCATAAGAATACCGACATGCAGGACGGGTCAGACATGAACAGAAAATATTCCGGAACGCTGCTATAAAATGCATGGTCTGGAAGCGTAAAATGCAGATACTGAGATACATTTGTTTTTGACATGGTGAGATTTAACAGATATACATTTATAAAAAGAAGAAAAAAATATGGCGCTATACAGATATCAAAATAAAGGGATATCAAAATAAAAGGGCGATATATATATATATATATATATATATATATATATATATATATACATAAAAACTTGTGAGCTTGAAGCCTACAATTGAAATACTGAGATAAATTTGTATTTGACATAACAGAATATGACAGAGATATATATGTCAGCAGAAGAAACAACTATCTCGAATTACAGTTACAGCCATACATATAGCAACAAAAATATGGGAAATATTTTATTCTAAAAATGGCCAAGAGACGCTAAGAGATTTATTATGTGTAGGATTATACTGGGGAAGTGATTCTATGCAGTAAATGTTGCAAATGCAGAAGGTGGCTCAAACCACTAGCGTAGGGGAGCCAATTAAGAGAAAGCACACATTTATTGGTAACTCTAGGTCTGTTAGACACAAGGTTGTTGCGTTAATATTATTTCAGCAACAACAGCTTCTACACTAAGATGTCGTTTGGAGAGTCTATTCGGGCTCAAGACAAGAATTGCGAACTCACGAAATGGCTTTTCGCTCCTCCCATTTTCACTCCCCCCCCCCCCCCCCCCAAAAAAAAAGTGAAGTGCGTCGTACCCGCCCTGACAGTATGTCATTTTCGTAGTCAGAGGGTCACAACACTTCATGCACAATTTTACCGTAAACGTAGTCGAGCAATTGTGCCAAAGGGCCCTGTGCGTGTGGACAACCTTCAGCCGCTCTCACTGTGTGCCCCAGTGGTACAGCGCGTTTGCATAGATTAAGACAAAAAAGTTTTTCCGCCCTTTTGGAAGCCCATAGCTTATTTCCAAGAAAAAGTAACGAGATTTCAGCATCCTATACGGTATTGCGATGTAACCAATACATCGTAATAGTACCCCACTGCTGAGATACAAATACATTTTGCAAATTTATCTAGATACAGAAATACAGATGCTAAAAGTATCTCTCAGATACTATTGTTATACTATTACATGTCCATATTGTCCAGCTTTGCTCGAGTGTTAATAATTGACTTCTGTATAGGTATTTTCACACGATATTCGGAGGTTTATTGTTATTGTCAACTCTTTTTTTCGCCAGGTTTTCCATTCCAGTGTTACCTAAACTTTCGTTAGGCTGATTTTTAGCTCCACTTTTAAATTTTCTCGGTGTAGGTCTTCAACTTGGTATTTTTTTCAGTATGTTACCATTATTCCTCAGGAACGTAGGTAAACTGCAAATCATAGGTTGCTGAGATACTTAAACCTAATCTTCAATCCTATTTTTAACTCCTAGAACCTAGAACCATTTGAATACTGATACGGATGAAGTCAACTGCATCGGAGGGAAAAGTGTGTCTAACCCCAGTCTCGCACGCAATTCAATTCTGTATTTTCTGTGCAGAAATAATATACCTCCACATTCTTTAGATTTTGGATAGAGTACTTCTATATGTTTCAAGTACGCTTTATTGACATGGTGTTTAAAGGCTACTCATATGCCTACTAGGTCGCATGCCCTTATATAGTTCATGAAAGGTCTATAAAAAACTTTTTTTCGTTTCACTAGTCACAGCTCTCGATTGTATGGTTATTCAAATGCTCGTGATTCATTTTAGAAGGCTACTTCCGAGCCATAATAGCGCTCTAGATTTGTTGAAGTTAACCATGTCTGATATAGTATTAGATATTATCTTCTCAAATCTTTCGTGTATAACGGAAAGTTATTTCACGGGTTCAGTTTCTGAACTCTTTTACGTCTCACATCTTGTGTAGGAATGCATTGTCGACATTTTTCCATACCTGTGGCACTCCATAATTTCTAAGTAATTCAGTGTAGAGTCTAGCAAGACTTTACAATTTAAAGCCCTCCCTTAGCTTTAAGCCCTCCTTAGCTTTAAGTCGACTGGAATGTTTCGTTCGAACCACTTTTCCATGGGCTAACTCATATGATCCTCCTTGTGTGTGGCAACGTACGTAGTAGCAGCTTGCAAACTCCCACATTACGAAGTGAAAATATAGCGAAGGATAATGCCATGAACGGGTCCAATGTTTCCTTAAACAAAAGTGTAAATGTTGGTAATTATAAAGGGGCCCTGCAACGCTTGTTTAAGTAGCCATGAAACAGATTCACTAAAAGAGCGTATAGCTGCACAAATAACCCCGCAAAAATTTTCACAAATATTCCTGTACTAGCAGAGCTACAAAGATCGGTCGTGCACTGCAGTTGCATTCTTTCTTCTCTCATCTCGCCGAAAGCGCTGGAAGCTAAACAGGAATAAAGTATTCAGAAAATAGGGGCTTTAGACAAAGAGAGATGGTGCCAACGAAGAAAATACGTCACGTGCACGTTGTAAACTTGAGCGGTTTTTTTTTCTTCGAATGCATGGTTTTTTAGTGAAATCGCGCGCACACGCGTCAAAAAGTAACGGCATCCCGTGGCAGCTCTAGTAGTAACCATGCTGAAATCAGTCAATGGCTTATACTTTGCCTGCGATGCAGTGATTTTAGAGCCTGTATCGCCATTTTCCGAGAGAGGAAAATCGATTTTGAAGTATTTACTTATTTGTATTCCAGGCCGCGCACTGCACTATATTTGTCATGCCTGTTCCCGGGAGCGTCGACTACCGATCGGCAGCGTTTTCTGACCTTGCTGAAAAAGTGTTGCCGGACCACTTAAAGCTGTGGGAATTGCAGCGGAAGTTATCACTTCAGTGAAGATTCGCTTGCGCATGGCTGAAAATAACTTCTCTCTGCCACTCAGCGTTGTAATCGCTAATTAAGCGGTGGGGAGAAGTGGTATACCCAAATATGAAAAAACATTTCCATGGGCGTGGGTTGCGCGGCTTTCGAAATTCTACTTGGGAAGCCATTTTATATCATTCGACCTTGTCCGGCGAGCCCGTAACGAGGGTCTCCTCCTAAGGTCACCAAGATGCGTCAATTTCTTCATTCGCACTCTCGTCCTACCACTTTCGCCCAGTGATATGGGGAGCACTACTTTTTTGCAATATGATGACCATGCTGAGCCAGTGTGACGCAAGTATACTCTTAGAAGTGGGTTTCATCGCTTTAAGTTAATCAAAAGGCGGGAACTAAGGCCATACTTAACGATAGGTTTGAGAAGTCGCATTCAATCTCCAATGGTAAACATTTAATTCTCCAGTAGGGAAATTTCTGCAGCCCATTAATACAAAGTTCGTGATCCGTAAGTGATGTATTGGTTAACTTGCTGCATTACTGGCTTTCCAATAAACGAAGATTTCATTACTTCCTAATATGATGGCTCACTAGAAAATAGGCTAAAATCTCATGATGTCCTTTTAGAGTTATTTGGCTGCAAATTTAATCTATATAAGTATAGAAAATACAATGGCATGAAAGATTATTCGAGGATATGATGACAGTGTGAAATTATTAAATATTGCAAATGACAACTGTTGGTAGAAAGCCATTATGACTCAAAGCAAATATATGAAACCAGTATATAAGACCAATAGCAATAACCAGAGCATGAAAGCACGAAATTTGTAAGCAGTGACAACAGCCTTCATCTGCACTAGCCAGCACTGTGCGTTCAATATTACGAGCTATGTTTCGTTTTGCTTGAGCCAATTCACACATGGTAAATACCTAAGAGTAAGAACAAAATACTTGTGGCTGATCTTTGCAATAAATAAGTGCAACGTAAAGTATGGGTATTTCTGTGCAGAGTAGAAGGTCAACTTCGTGCTTGCATTTGATGAAAAGCGAGCATATCTATGCTACTCCTCGTCATTAAAGAGAGAAAGAAGATAAGTACTAATTATCAGAGGGCGTGAGGAGGGTAACGAATAGTTTGCAGGATATGATGCATCAGTAGTGTTATAAAGATGATTTAAACTTCGATTACGCTCATTTTTCCCCAGCTGGTCACTTGTTGTAATGCAGATATCAAAAAAACTAGTGATTCGACTTTACCTCAAGCCTAAGTACAGCATGCCCAATGGTTTGTTCGGTATTGATCAACAAAGTCATGTCGAGATCAATTTTTCGCTCGCACCAATGACCCGCTGCGGTAGCTTAGCACGTATGTCGCTTCACTAAGTTTGAAGGCACTGCTATGACTTACAGCCTCAGCAGGCGCGTTTCTGTGGAAGTGAAATGGAAAGGACATGGTTAAATGTAAGGGCACGTTAAAACACTCCATGTGGTCGAAATGCGTCTGGAGCACCTCATTGCGACGTCGCTCATACCTGTATTGCGGGTTTCGCTCGTGAACACCCAGCAATTATAATTATTATCATTCACTTGCGGCATTCCCCTTCCCTGCTACATTTCTCTAGCTGGTAGACCACACAGGTATGCAGTGACGTACGAATGTAACTGAAGTAGAAATGAAGTCCGCTTTAGCGATAAGGCCAAGAGCATACCTTGACAGCATCTGGAGTCTCCCCGGGTAGTGGTCGTCGTCTTCCGCTGGAATGCAGATATTCCAAAGCAAGGCTCAAATGGTACAAGACAATCGAGCTAAAAATTAGGAAGGCCTTCATTATGAGAGAAAGTGATATTCTGCGGTAGCCTTTGCAACACAAAACAGCGCAGTGCGGTGGCAAGTGTTCGGGACTCTTATAGGGACACTCTATAAAAGGTATGTTGTGGCTCTCTAGTCTTTTTTGATAGCACTCGTACCACTGATAACGAGAAAGGCGTTAGTTTCCATCAGCAGTTTGCGGAAAAAGTACCCCATAATATACTACGTTATCTATTTGCATGCAGACACAAAAAGGAAATGGCCATGCGCATTCATGAAACGAAAGAGACAGATATTACGACGCATCCACACTGCATTAAACATGCTGTGTATGTCACTGATATGGAAATTACAAACGGGTGCTCTATTTTTTTTAATGGAAACAATTATCATTGTGAAGGATCAATTTTTGTTTCAGTACTCATTTTTCGATCAAAAATACGAGGAACGCCAATAAATATGTGCAGTTTGTGTGCGTTCAATTCATGTAGTATATTCGGTCAACCGTAACTTTTATATTGATCATGACATTTCTCGGACACGGAATTCTGTTACCTTTCAGGGTAGTCGACTTCGTAATGCATACAATTATGTTAGAAATCCCGCCATCGTTAGAAACACGTCTGGAAGGTATTTTGAGAAATAGACTAAGCCGGTCTGTCACACTTCGCATCTTAATTTGAGATGATTTGCCTTGAGCAATATTTTATGCTTGCGAAACACCCAAAACGAACGGAAAGCGATGTCGCGGTACTGTGAAGCCTGATGAGTCACAGAAGTACTGTGTTTGGTGAAGAAGGCTTTTTATCATGTGCGCTGAAAAGGCAGGTGTATTAAGATGACAGCGCTCCTATATTTCTCCCAATTTTCCGCTTGTATACTTTTGTGCACTTTTGCAAATATTATATCGCCTGTCCCTTTACTTGCGTGATTGGGCTGATGGTTTTTTCGAATGCATTGTCCGGCAAAAAAGGTTAGAATTACTTCTCTTTTGGGGCGAGAACGGGTGAGCGTACCGGCAGCACATGTTCGGGGAGAGAAGCAGAAGAGGACTAAGAGGGTTCTTGCTGGTGGAATTGTTGCGTTGTACTAGGTAGATGCCATTTCTAACGATGATAGCTTATGCAAACGAGTGTAGTGGCATAACTGAGGGAATAATGGCTCGGCTGCAAAAGCGTCTGTGAGAGACATTTGGTGTGGCATGGCTTTATGATGCCGTTTCCGCTGCTTAGAAGGCACTGACAGGCGCAAAAAGGCGTAAAAAATGAAAGAGCACGGTCATTACGTGTGTTCTGCTTATGCGATAGTGTCTTCCTGTGTGTCACCATAACAGCGCAACTTGGGCCATAATGTTACACGATAAGAACTTGCTACTTCTAGTGACACGTGACACGTGAAAGTGGTGGTATTTCACAACAGGTGGGCTCTACTGTAGATAGTGTTTTAGTTAAATGTGTAATATGTAAGGGTTAATTATATAATAAATAAAAGAGCACTTATTCAGTCACAACTTTCAACTTAGAATACTGAGCGAAAGCAGACCCAAACCAAATCAAGCACGACACCAAAGAAAAATTATCTAAGTATACCGAATGAGAAAGAGCACCGCAAACGTTGAAAGCAGCCAAGCCTATCAGGAACATAGGCAGAAAATTTCTTTCGGGAAGGGTACCCCCTTGATTTCGGGAGGGGGGTGGGGCACCCCCTTGAAATGGTCACTTTTTGCGTTGTATGCCATGCCGAACAGAAATATCATTGGGGGAACAAGACCGGTGTGCCACCACGTGACTACGCCACTGAAGCCTATTGCATTCAGGTCATCAGTGATCATTCAACACTCGAAATTCACATCGGTGTATAGCGCTATTCAGGGGGAAGTGACACATGAATCACTTGTTTCATCGATGTTCTGAAAGCAGCAGACAACCCACAACCTTCAATTTTAAAGTTATTTGAAATTTAATTACTACTCATTACCGTAGGCAGGTGTTTTTTATTAGTTTGCTAAAAGATATTTTAGAAAACAATGACACTTTTAGAGCAAATAAAATGTTCGTGTGGGGCTTTCAGTACGTGATCAAGAAGTGAATGAACAATAATTAATATGCAATATATTCCCAACAGTATTTTACCGAAACTATTTTAAACTATTGTTTATAAATACTTTTTGGATTCTAAGACAACAGATACTGCAGTCTCATTTTAAGTCATAACAGTGAAGACTGGAGGAGCATAATTAGCCAAAAAAAGCGGGAAGAACTCACACAACAGATTTTTATGAAATGTGTTGGGAGACAGTGTGTACAAAACTCGATAGCCAAGTGTCTTATAAAGAACTGAAGTACAAAGTAAACAATTGTGTACATAAAAGCATTATGATACAGCTAATTTGGCAATTGAATTTGAGCCATTGAGCAGTGGTAGGAGAGCTGTGCAATAATTGGTAAAGAGGTTTCACTTAAAAAGGCACGTACCGATTTTAAGCATTCCTATTTAGTGTCCTGAAAGGGACGTTACGTCTCAGAGCTTCAAAAGTTGAATACAATGCAAAAGTTTTGAAAATATAATGAAGTAGTATTTTGAATTTTAAAGTTAGGCAGCTGCAATGCATTGAAATATTGCTGCTCCAAAGGTGTCGCAGGCTTCACGATCAGAACAAAGTATTTCAATAGAGTTAGGTAACCATTTTTCTTCTGCTTCTCCTGTATCAAATTGGGGAAATCATAATCATTACAGGGCTGTTATTCATTAGGCATATTAAAAGAGAAGAGTATCTTGTATGAGCATGACATCGTGGTTATATGGAGGAGCAAAAAAAAACAAAACAACCGCTTATCTTAACAATAAATTTCTAGCTTATGTTTGTTGTATTGGGTACACGAGCAACGTTAGCGAGAGTATCGTTACAGTTTCGGTCTAAAATTGCTTTGCACATTCATGACGTTGACAACGAGCTGTAGCACCTCGCGTCGATTACTTATCATTCACTGCTTATCATCACTTTGCTTGGATTGCTTAGCAACCAACGTAAGAGCGACGTTTAAGCACCCAGCACGTCCCCCTTCATAGTTAAAACTAGTCTATCTTCAAGTGAATATCTGCTGTTTTTCAATCTGATAGTCGTACTTGCCTTTAATTTTCAAATTTATCATACAAAGGTAGCCAATACTTTTAATTTGTGTCTTTTCTGTGTTCTTTCTACAGTTTGACTCACTGGATGCAATTTCTGTATTACGGAAACCCCACCAATGGTAGAATTCTTGATTTCCATTCTAAGACAAGGCATGAATTACTCGCAGCAGATGAGCTTTGAGGTCACATGTTCAATCTGGTGGGCAGTCTTTAGGACAGTTGGCCCCAATTTCTTCAATAACAATGCCCACTTATATTCATGACACATCTGGATGGCAAATTCGAGCGCACTTACGCAATTGTTTTGAATTCATAATATATATCTGCGGAAAAACAAATTGAGGCTTTTTTGCATGTCCAGTGGCACCACTCCTTATTTTCGACCCATCAACTTTATAGGACACGTACACTTCTCTCGCAGTCCTTGTTCTTAACATTATCAACAAGAAGGCTCGTGTTCTGGTAACTGGACATATATATTGGCATATATTGGCCCTGTTTTTATGGTATGCGATTGGGCTTCAGTCGCAAAACTGCTACCCTTGAGCTAGTGCTGCGCAAGCCACGACGGAACACTTGAGTGAACAGAATGCGAGCAAATGAGTATGTTATGGAGCTAGTACGAACACCAGCAGTGAAGATAGAATGTAGCGTCATGCATATATAACTGATGACGTGTTGCACTTGCGTGCAGTATATTAACAGCCAAGTAGAGTGCTCATCCTGGCCGTTTCGCTGTGTGAATTGCCCTTTTTTCTCTCTCGAAAGTTGGCCCGCTGAAGGTTTTCACTTTTACTAGCTTGTGTTCTGCGTTCGCCACCCCAGATTATATGATAAAATACATGAGATATTCGACTTCTTACGGTAATGCGAAGTCAATTTTCAACATAATGCATCGTACAAAGCATATGGTTGAACTGAAGTAAACAGGAATTTACTGATTGCTCGCATATTGCACAAAAATATTTTGTCTGGTGGTATTACTGTTGATTATACAGTAAATTTTCAAAGAGATAAGTAATTTGTCGTATTTTTCGTTATTCTCAATACTTCAGTCTTCTACGAAATTTTGTTTTTACGAAACATGCTACATATTACCAACTTTGACTAATTGTTTGAGTTCCTCTGTTTTCGTATAAAAATATGAAAAGCTCTGTGTGGTATTGAAGTAAATCTAGGCTCAGTACCTTTCTTGATACAAATCAATAAAAATAAATCATCTGAACTTGACGTATCTGTAAGTGTTTCGCATAGTCTGCACAGCTGTAATTGTGCATAACTACCTAGAAATTTATTGTTTTTTATAGACAACTACATCAACGACTAGAAAAAGTCGTGCAAAGGAGTTGTTCTTTAATCCAATGCGGTGAGTCTGCGCGACGTTATTTGGGGGCCTAGCAGACGACAAGTACAAAGCGACTACTTGCAAGTCGTTGTGAAACTATAGGCGAGAGGTGGTCTGCTTCAGCTACACGAACCGGCCAGTAGCTGGATCATAAATCGAAGGAAAAAAAATATTCGGCTCCCTGGAGGCATTCCAACATGACGACAATACGGGGAAGTGGGTAAACATCCTTACGTGTGATGATGTTGAGTCGGCGGTAGTCCACACAAAAGCGAAATGTGACATCTTTCTTTTTTACCAACAGTACAGGAGAGGCCCAGGAAGTGTAGCAAGGTTGCATCACGCCACAATTGGCCATATCTACTACGTGGTCGTCGATGACTCGGCGCTCCCTTGTGGAACACGATGCGGGCGTAGACTCAATGGGGCGAGATCTGCGGTGTCGATGTGGTCGAGAACAAAAGTGCAGCCTAAGCGAGCTTGTGGTAGGTCGAAGGACGTACGAAAGTGCCCGAGAAGCGCGACCAGCTGCGTGTGCTGGCTGGTTGTGAAGTTGGGGTCAATACACCAAGAAAATGGTAGGTGAAG